TGAAAAACAAACAGGAATTGAAGAAGAAAGAATTAAAAAAAATGATGCAAAAAATGTACAAAGAGATGATATCAACCAATACTCGAAAAAAAGTAAGAAACTTTATTTATTTAAATTTATTTTCATAACCTGAATAAAGAAATATATTCCTCTTATATTCTAAAACTTTAATTATTGTGCTTTGCAGAAAAACTGAAGACTTCAAAGGAATAAGAAGTAGAGAAAGTTAGAAGATAATCCAGTTATTATCTATTTCTTTTAGGATAATATTATTATATTAAATTTTTTAATTCCAACTTATTTTCTATTTCAGTCAGTGAAACCATATTGGAATTTTTATCTATAAATTTCTGTTAATATTATACGTCTATGTTTTAGTTTGTGATAATTATGATTATTTATAATTTTTTTCTTTCTAATATTATTTGGATAATATGAAATAAAATGGTATTAGTGTTGTATCTAATACATTTACATAATATTTAAAAAGTCAATATAAAATAATCTAAAAAATGAAATTTAAAAGAATAAAATGGATGGAACATTTAAACTGATGCAACATTTAAACAGATACATTTCCTTTCGTAAAAAAAAAAATTTCCTTTCTAGATAAAAATAAGTAATTTAGTTCTACACATTTATCTCTTTTTTTTTTTAAATAGATAAAGATGAGGGAAACATATATAATAAAAATTAAAACAAATTGATTCAAATTAAAACACATTGCTCACAGTTAAACCATGACAGTTAAAACTATTTAGTAAATTGAAACACTTACTGAATGGGAACAAATAAAAAGATACTCTTACAAAATGTTTATGAGCATGAAATTTTGATCATATAATAAATAAAATCATAAACCAGAATATGGAGTTTAAATAAGTTAATAAATCAGAATATAGAGTTTAAGAAACAGTTTTTTTTAACTGTCATCATTCCAAGGAACTTTGCTACACGAACGATAGCACCCAAGCAAGCAATTGATGGAAGACAAAAACTGCAGTAAGGTTATTCCATTTAAAATAATATGAAGTTCAAGAAATAATTTTCTTTTACCTGTCATTATCTCAAGAAACTTTGATGCAAGAACGATGGCAACACAAGCAAGCAATTAATGGAGCAGAAAAACTATACAAAGATTACAACAGGATCAGATTTACTTGCAGAATTTGAAGAGTATTTACAGCAGACTTCTTTTCAACAAAGTAGTCAAAATTTTCTTCAATCAAATTCTTAATTATTGGGAGTTGAAGTTGTTGCATCAACAATAGATAAACAAGCAGAATGCACGATAGACCAAGCACTTGCAACTAATATTGGAGAGCAACCCATAGATACAATCAGCTACATTAGAGTCGAAGAGCATGAAATGAAATGAAAGGTACAATCTAACTGTTTTTTGTGTGATGCTTAATCTAACTATTTTCCCTTTTTTTTTTTATTCATGAAAGTGATGTATTTATTTTGTATGATGCATATAGAGACTCCCTTATAGAAAGGAATTTAGAATTAGATTTATGACTATTTGGGAATATGGTTTTAAATATTAAGTGTAAATAATGATAATTACATGTATTAAGACATTTCTAGAGATAGAGAGACATGTAGACAAGTGCCATAGCTACAAAACTGATAGAGAGACATGAAGGAGAGAGAGAGATTATTATTAAATCAAGTTATATAACTTATCCTTGATAGACTCAAGTGCATAATAAATTCTTTGATAAAACCTAAATTAATTTAGGTCTGTTGAGTAAGCGCACTCTATTTTTTATTTTTAAGCCTAATATAACTAGCAGAATTCAATTTTGGTTGCTATTAGTTTCGTCCAGGAGAAAGAGAGAAGGTTAATAGAGGATGGAAACCTTGAACCAGAGAAAGTGTTGTCTGACAAGTTCCTTTAGCTCTTTTTTTTTTTTTTTATAATGTTATTTCATTAGTCACGAGTGTTCAAAAACAAAAAAACATAAAGCATATTTATGTTCTAAGCTTATAATAGAGAGTTAATAAACCTATATCAGAAGTTCAGGGTTGTTGTTATATGGAACCAAGGCAAGCTGAAGAATTGAACTTTGTTTAAGTTTGCCTTTTAAATTGGCAAACAAAAAAAATAATAGAATTCTATTTATATTTGTGCTTTAATTGCAATTCATATGGTAGAGAATATTTCCTTAAGTTTTCCATTTTTTGTTGAAATTTAAATCAAAGCTATAGTTTCTGCAACAACTAACGAAAGAAAGAGGGAAAATACCAGTAAACCCTTTAAAAGTAAAGACATCGGGGACACTAACAGAAAATCTTCTTCGAGTAGCTTCTACTCATGAAATATCACCTGGTATGTTTTATATTATTTATAGAATAACTTTGAATTGTAGCCTATATTTCTAGAAGAGCTAAGCATTAAGTTAAATGCAGGAAATGAAATGGTACAAGTTTATGAATACAGAAGAATTATACCAAGAGCAAACTTATTGTCTGAGTTTGAAGATTATTTGCTAAGAAGTACAAGGGAGAATGTGATGAAAGGTATTTCTATCTTTTTAATAATGCTGAAATTAATTTAATACATCAATTTTTCAGCAAACTGTTCCTTAAGAAGATCTATGTGTACAGGAATAAAACAGGATGGTAGACAAATGGAAATTGGTGAGTCAAGCAATTCTGCCACAAGAATTTCTGAAAAAATAGTAAGGACAATTGAAGAAAGCCAAGAAAATATTTTCACTTTAGCTCAAAGTCAAGAAATAAGGAGGACAGGAATTAGAAGACAAAATGGTGCAAATCCCTTTGATGTTCCACAGAGATCAACAAGAAAAAGACAAAGAGAAGCTAGCAACAATGGTAAATAGTTATATTAAACTTTTAAATGAAAAATCTTTCCATATTTATTATTGGAAAATTAGATGACATTATTATTTATTTACTATTGAATTTTACAGTTGAACAAAGAAATGTTTTGATTGATTTTGGTCCTCCAATATACATTTGTACAAAGTGTGGAGCATGGCATTGGATCCAGGAGAAAATAAAAAAGGACAGAAGTAATGGCATTATTCACTTCTCTCTATGTTGTAAAGATGGGAAACTATAATTAGCTCCAAGAAAAGATCCTCCTATGTTGTTAAAATCTCTTCTTGATTATGAAGGTGGACCAAAAGCCAAAAGATTTAGATCTAATATCTGGAAATGCAACTGCTAGTTTGCATTTACATCTTTTGGAGCTAAAATAGATGACACTGTAAATACAGGACAGGGACCTTTTCGCTTCAAACTATGTGGACAATGTTGTCATAGAATTGGATCACTTTTACCTCCTGAAGGTCAGAATCCAACATTTGCACAACTTTATGTTTTTGATACAGATAATGAAGTCCATAATAGATTGAATGTGGCCAACACATCAACTGATGATGATCCTTTGAACAAGGAGATAGTTGAAGATCTAATAAAGATGTTTGATGAATGCAACAAATTAGTGCAAGTTTTCCAGAGAGCTAGAGATACATTGGTAGAAAATGGAATACCAGAATTTCAGCTTAAATTATTAAGTGGTGGAGGACCTGGTGATCATCAATATTCTGCACCAGAAATGGCAGAAACTGTTGGATTAATAATCGGAGCTGAAGAAGAGATCGTGCAGGGCCGAGATGTGATCATTCAACATAGGAATGGTACTATGAAAAGAATTAATTCATCTTTTCCATACTACATGGCTTTACAGTATCCTATTTTATTTCCCTATGGTGAAGAAGGATATAGAAACAATTTATATGAAGTTGATGAGAATGGGAATCAAACAAATGACAGGATCTCAATATGTGATTACTACAGATATTATTTTTAGTTTAGAGTTAATGAATGGAACACAATCATGTATGGTGGTAGATTATCTCAGTAATTTGTTGTGGATGTATACTGTTGTGCTGAAGAACAGCGATTATTATATCATCGTCTCAACCAAAGTCAATTGAGAACAGAATTTTACAATGGTCTGGTGGATGCAGTGAACAAAGGGGATACAGATGGTAAAACAATTGGGAAGAAAATCATATTACCATCAAGTTTTACTGGTGGACCAAGATACATGCAACAGCTGTATCAAGATGCAATGTGCATTTGTCAACATTTTGGCAATCCAGATTATTTTCTTACATTCACTTGCAATAGTCATTGGAATGAAATTAAAGAAGCTTTAAAATTC